AAAGAAAGCGTTTTTTGTGGGCGTTTTTAGGGGAGCGGGGGGGTCTCACAAACTCCGCTTGCGTGTGTAAATTTCTTTTTCTCGTTATTGTTACTAAACACAGGAAGAGGCGGTGAGGGCATAAGTCAGGCAGCCAAAATGAGGAGACGAAAAAAAAAAAACAAGACAACAACAACAACAACGAAACAGGCACATATTAAAAAAAACACACACACAAAGAAAAAGCCATAACAAAATAACTTGAAGAGGGGGTGAAGAAGAACAAAATATGAGAAAAAAGGCTGAAATGGGGGGGCGAAAAAGAAAAAGAAAAGAAAAGGAAATAAACAGAGCAAAAGTGGCAATTATTATTATTATTATTATTCCTCCTTCGCTTCACCCCCGCCGTCGCTCCTTTGGGTGGTGGGACGTTTATTGGGAAAAAGAAGCGTGGGAGAGAGAGGGTAATAGATAAGAAAAGAAAAGAACGGGGGTGGGAGCAAAGCCTCTGTTTTTTTTTTTCCGGTATTGTGTATGGTTGTGTGCTGATGGTGCCCCATTTTGTCTTCTTTTTTCTACGCAGAACAAAAAAAAGGAAAAAAAATGCATTCTAATTTTTTTTATTCGATATTTTGCCCTTTACGCCTGTTGTGGTTTTATTATATATTGAGATATATAATTATCTCTTCCTCATATATATATATATATATAAACTGGACGCATACACAGTTGGTGGGGGGTCGAATTTGGCGGCTTTTCTCCTCCCCGCATATGCCGACTGTCACAACATCTGAGCCACTTGCTGCGGACCGCTGCGGTGTACGTGTCACTGGCCTTCTCAGAAGGGACCGAAGAGAGAGGCAGGAAGACTGAAGGGAGAGGAAGGACAGAGGGGCTTTGGAAAGGTCGCTTCTACAGTGATAGTAATTGTCTCTAGCTTTCTTTTTTTTTCTTCTTCTTCTTTTTCCTCCTCACAATATCTCTCCATGCGATTTTGTTTTTGGAGCCACCTGGGCACCACCTGCCACGTGGGCCCCCGGTGACGCAGGGCACGTTTATCTTTTTTTTTGTGTGTTGTTGTTGTTTCCATTGAAGGGTTTTCTTTGATGCAAGCCGCTGCCGAGGGGTTGATGGAGTTGCGGCATAAGCGCGCGAGAGAGGAGAAGGAAGGCTGCGACAACGGCGGAGATGAGGAGGTGGAACTGGAAGAGGTGTTCGCCGGGCCGACGAGCATGGCAAAGCTTTTTTTAAAAGTCTCTCTAGACCCCTACGATAATTATGCGTCCGTGTGGCCACGCCCCGGCCCTGGTGTGGCGGACACTGTGCCGTATGCTGCAGTCGCCGACACCCTGGCCGATATCAGCGCCGAGAGCTCCCGGCTGGAGTGTATTAAATACCTCACTAATCTTCTTATTGCCGTGATGCAGCGCAGCCCAACGGACCTGGTTTCGGTTATTTACCTCGTGATCAACAAGCAGGGTCCCGCACACGAGGGTATTGAGCTTGGGGTGGGCGACGCACTGCTGGTGAAGGTAATCGCAGAGTGCTGCGGCCTCACCGAGGCACACGTCAAGGAGGCTTATAGACAAACGGGTGATTTAGCGGAAGTGGCTCAAGGCAAGAAACGAAAACAAGCCACTCTAATTAAACCTAAACGTCTCTCCGCAGCTGCGGTCTTTAAGGCGCTGCGTGACATTGCTCTTATGAGCGGCAAGGAGGCCGCACGACGGCGTGCCGATGTGATGAAGCGACTTCTCCGCGACGCCGTCGGGCCCGAGGTAAATCTTATTGTTCGGGCCTTGCAGCAGAAGATGCGTGTTGGGTTGGCAGAGTCGTCTGCGCTTGCAGCAATTGGTTACGCCTTTGCATTGAATCACATTGGAATTAAGGCGGTAGCGAAATACACCCCGGAGGAGTTGCAGCGAGAGTTGAATATGGGGTCTGTTAATTTTGCACGCATATACCACGAGGTGCCATGTCTTGAAATAGTTGTTGGGGCAGTGCTTCGGCATGGGTTTAACGTTATTGTTCCCTCCTCCCCAGAGGCGCAGGCTTACGCTGCAGAGCTGTCTATTCGCCCCGGCATTCCCGTGAAACCGCAGCTGGCACACCCCACAAGCGGGATAAATGTCATTTTGGACCGGCTTCAGGGCAAGACCTTTACGTCAGAGTACAAGTACGATGGTGAGCGGGCACAGCTTCACTACTCAAAAGAGACGGGCTATCGTATCTTCTCACGCAACGCCGAAGAACACACTGGGAAGTATCCGGACATCATCGCCATGTTGCCGCGCGTTTTTTCCGCGGAGACGGTGAAGTCTTTCATTATAGATTCAGAAGTGGTGGCTGTGGATGAGGCGACGGGAGCGCTGCAGGCGTTTCAGGTCCTCCAGCATCGCGGCCGAAAAAATGTGTCGTCTGGGAGTGTCACAATTCAAGTGTGCGTGTTCGCGTTTGATATTTTGTACTTTAATGGCGAACCACAGATGGCGAAGCCGCTATCCGAACGGCGACATATATTATACTCTCACTTTGTCCCTATTCACGCAAAGTTCCAGTTCGCTGAACATTTGGATAGCGCCAATGTGGAGGATATCCAGTCGTTCCTTGACCAGTCTATCAAAGACGGCTGTGAAGGACTTATGGTGAAGACGTTGGAGGAGGAGGCGACGTATGCGCCGGCGAAGCGTTCTCACTATTGGCTAAAGCTCAAGAAGGACTACATGGACGGCGTAACGGATACGCTGGATCTAGTGCCAATTGGAGCCTACTACGGAAAAGGAAAGCGGACAGGTGTATTCGGGGGATTCCTGCTTGCTTGCTACGATAGTGACAGCGACGAGTTCCAAAGCATCTGCAAAATTGGGACTGGATTTCAGGACGAGGAGTTGGAGAGCCTCACAAAAGTCCTGCGGTCATCCATCCTCATGGATCAGCCGCGGTATTATCGGGCAGAGGAAAAACCGGATGTCTGGTTAGAGGCCTCACAGGTATGGGAAGTGAAGGCTGCTGATCTTTCAATCTCTCCGGTTCACTACGCAGCATACGGACTTGTGGATGCGTCGAAAGGGATAGCACTGCGATTTCCGCGCTTCATGCGTGTGCGCGAGGACAAAAACGCGTCGGAGGCGACCACCGCCTCGCAGATTGCCCAAATGTACACTGCACAGTCGTTGTCTGTTAAAAAAGTACAAGATTGAGTCGGAGGGGGCAAATAGAGGAGATAGAGGGACAAGGTATATGGTGGGTAATGGGGATTTATAAGCATTCACACAGGGAGTAAGGCTTCACGGCATGTGTGGTGCGGTGTTCTTTCTTCTCCTTATCCTCCACTTTCTCTCTTTCCCTTGTTTTGTTTTCGTTTTTGTGCTATGCTGGTGTAATGCATCTTAATTTGGACCTCAAACTTTCTGAAAAATCTTTTTATTTTTATTTTTTCCTTCCGCTTCTCCCCCAGGTGGCACAGCGCGAGGGACAGGAGAGACGCCGCATGGGCGGGTCATTGCGCGTCTTGGCTGACCATGTGGCGTGTGATGAGGGACGGGAACAAAGTTTCTGGCGCTGGATACGGCGTAAGCGGCAGCGGTCACCCAGTGTGGACGAGGGCTGCAATGTGACGGCGACGAGGACACCTGATAACGAAGCTGAAAAGGCTGAGGACGCCGAGGCCCAAAGTTTGCTTCGGATGCAGGTGTTGGGTACGGACGGGGTGAGGTCGGTGCCGCTGGGTTGTTCCGTTTTGTGTGGCCCTTCTGTGGAGGACACGTACGGTTGTCACTATCACGTGTATCCTTCCACTTCCCCAGGTGCTGCTCATGGCACGGCGTTGTGTTGGTCCTTGCGGAGGTCGTCGTTAACCACTCACGCCTTGATGTGCCTTGGGCGTGTGGCAAACAGTTGCCGCAAGGACCTGGTTTTGTTTGATGAGGATGTTGGCATCTTGCTGTCGTACACAACGAGGCTGTGAAGGCGGTATGGCGTTTGGGCCGGGGGGGAGGAACAACAACAAAAAAGAGAAGGGCATACGTGGAGTGGATATTGGCGGAATTCGGTTTCTTTTTGCTTTTTTTTTCTCCACTCGCATGAAATGCGTATATGCGTTGAGTACTTTCCTCCTGTCGGAGTTTCTGCTTGCTTCTGTCGCCTGTGCCTCTCTGGCGGGGCGTACTTTGCTTTTCTTTCCCTTCTTTCTTTCTGGGCGTGGATATGGAACTGCCGTTGGATTATCGTTAGGTACCTTTGGTTTTTTTTTTAGTGGGTGCGGCTGTTGACGAAGTTGTGGAGGTTAGTCCTGGTCTAGCGCGAGGGAACTGCGGGGGAAAGGAATTAAGTAAAGCATGTCTGGTCTCACGATTGAGGAGCTGGAGCGACGACTGGATGGGCTTCAGAAGGTGAAGGTGTTTGACGAGAGAGTGAGGGGCGGCGTGGAGCGTCTGCTTGCGTCGACGCCTAATTTCGAGGAGGAGCGGGATCCCGAGACGAAGGTCCGGCTGCTTTTTTTGAGGTGCAAGGCGCTCACCCTGCTGCCGTCTTACTCCAGGGAGGCGGAGCAGGCCTGTGGTGCCGCGCTGAAGCTTCGCCACGATAGACCAGATCTGTGGGTACTCCTCAGTGAGTGTCTTGCTCGCCGCAATGCGACTCGCGAAGCATGTGATGCCTTGGACAACGCCCTGCACATTGATGCTCACAATGTAGAAGCCTTGTGCCAGTACAGCCGGCTTCTAAGAACGCTTTCCAGCGACTCCAAGCTGACACAGACGGAACGGCTACAACACTTGAATGACTCCGTGGCGCGTGGTAAGGCGGCGGCTGCTGCCTGCCCCACAAGTACGGACGCTTGGAACTGCTATTCAATTGCTTTGCTTTCGAAGGCTCTTTCAAGCGGTGTTGACATCGCTGGGGCGAAACAGGCCTTACAGGCTATGCGACAAGCTGCACGGCTCTCCCCAGAGGACCCTGATGTGCGGTTTAACAAGGGTGGCATTGAGGGCCTTTTGGGCCATTTTGGCAACGCGGCATGTGACTTCCTTGCAGCGTACGAGGCGGATAAAACGCGATTGAAAGGGACGAAGCAAATGCTCGAGAATCACCTCACCGTTCTTCGACGAGCAGAGTCACGCATACATACTGCACGCCAGGCAGGGAAGCGAAACTTCGCCTCGCTGCTTGCCAAGCTGCCCTCATCCCCTGATGCCGTAGCGGTAAAAAGTGTTTTGGAGGGTTCAGCCACGGCCCCATGTCGCGTAACTGTTGGGGCAGTGGATGTTCTAAGTGAACCGACAATGGAGCCGACGGTGCTGCTTGCAGCTGAGAAATCGGGCGAATTTTTATTACTTTTGCTTTACGGGTTAAGGCAAGGATCGGTGAAGGGCAACAATACCACCATTTCCTTGTCATTCCCAGACAGCACTCCGGTTCGTGTCACGCACGAGGTCCCCGATATTTCCTTCTTGGAGACTAGTGCCCACACGGCCACGTACACGCAGGTCTTTGTTGATCTCAAGACCACGCTCATTAATGGCCAGCCGGTTCCCTCGCGCATGCTTGTCTCCCCCACCCTCTTCTCGACCATGTTTGTGTGATTTTTGCCTTCGTACAAAAAGAGGTGATTCATCGCGGCATGGCTCTGCGAGGGTGGGAAGCTTGTTTGTGTCTCTCTGTTGATGCTTGACCGTGTAATATCTTTCTACTGGACGCAATAGAATTGCAACAGTGTCTTGTACTCTGCAGCAATTGCACACATTTATTATTATTTTTTTAGTTTTTATTTTTTTTTCTCTATCCTTTTTTTTTTTGGTTGCCCGGTCAGATTGTCTTGCATTTGTTTTCTTCGCGTCTTTAGGTACTGCATCAATCGGGTGGGTTAGCTGTGGTCGCAGGTTGATGGCGCGTCGCCTGCGGGTGCGGTTTACCGCAAAAGACGGGTACGGCTGTGGGCGCTGCAGCGCGTATCTTTGCGACAACGGCGACGTCATTTCGCGTGCCTTTCACGGCAAGCATGGCAAGGCGTACCTGGTGAGCCGCTGCTTTAACTACTACTTTGGACCCCAGGAGGAGAAGGAGCTGATAACGGGCTCACACATTGTGCGCGACGTCTTTTGCTCCTGCTGTGATCGCTATATTGGCTGGACGTACGACTTTGCCTATGTAGAGAAGGAGCGGTATAAAATCAATCGTTTTGTCTTGGAGCGTCAGCTTTTGCGTGCCATCAAGGCAGACGCAACGACGGGTTTGCCAGCTGCCGGCAACGCAAACCAGCAGTCTTGATAGTCCCAAATGTGTAAAAGCCCATTTTTTTTTGTTTCTGCACTTTTCTTTCCGTCGCGGCGCACTCCCGCTTTCCCAAATCCCCTAGTTCAGATGACACCCGCTCGGTTACAGTCGTACTTGCGTTAGTGGTATCCTCCTCACTTCAGTGCGTGGGGGTTCGGCCGTGTTGGGCACAGACACACAGAGAGACCTCTCCTCTTGAAGTCATTGTATGGCTTGGGAGAAGGAGTACTTGTGTCTTCACCGCCACGGCGTGCACTTGATCTCTCACTCGGTCTCCCAGGAGCTTTTTTTGCTTTTTTTTACCTTTGTTTCTTGTTTCTTGTGTGTGAGTGTGTCGGGAGGCGTGCGTCTGTGTTTCTTTTATATTAGTCGCCGTTGCTGTTATTATTATTATTATTATTTTCCCTCTTGTGTGGTCTCTCCGCTTGACTCACCTCCTGTCCGTTCGTTTTTGTTTTTATTTTGTTTTCTTCCCTCAACACCCCTTGCGGAGGGGGCATTGAGGAGGGTAGCGCAGTGTGTTCCACAGTAAAGCATGCCGAGGGCGCAGCTGGCAAGAGAGAAAAACATCAAAAGTCTGCTGGGGGTAGTCATCAGTGGTCGGTTTCGCATCGTTGAGTGTGTAGGCGGGGGCTCCTTTGGCGACGTATTCATGGGCGTAAATATTTATAGTGGCACACGCGTGGCCGTCAAGGTGGAGCCGTCCAAGAGGCACGGCCAGGTACTGACGGAGTACCGCACCTACAGAACGTTAAATGAGTGTGCACTGGCCGTGGGCATTCCGCAGGTGTACTTTGGAGGTAAGGTTGGGGACTACAACGTGGTGGTGATGGATTTACTGGGGCCCAACCTCGAGCAGGTTTTCAACCTCTGTGGCCGCAAGTTCGGAGTAAAGACAGTGTGCATGATAGGTATACAAATCTTTCAGCGAATGCAGAGTATGCACTGCATGAATTACATTCATAGAGACATTAAACCCGAAAATTTTGTTTTGGGTGTGAGGGAAAATTCGCAAATCGTGTACGTGATTGACCTGGGCCTGGCTAAGCGTTACCGGGATCCCCGCACGTTGCAGCATATTCCGTGGGAGAGCAACAAATCCCTCGCGGGTACAGTTCGCTACATGAGTATAAACACCCATCGGGGCATCGCGCAGACACGCAGGGATGACTTGGAATCGGTCATGTATCTTCTTTTTTATTTTCTCCGCGGGGGTCTGCCATGGCAGGGAATGAAGCACCAAGCAAATGACCACAACTACGAGGGTATTTGTGACATGAAGGTTCACATTACTCCTCATACCCTTGCCGAGGGGTATCCAAGGCAGTTTGCAACCCTTTTGGAATATACACGTTCTTTAAGGTTTGAAGAGACTCCGAGCTACTCTTTTTGTTTGCAGTTGCTAAACGACGTGCTTGCAGCACGCGGGGAGACTTTTGACTATCAGTATTCCTGGCTGGAGAACTTGGGCCTACGGCTGACGGAGGAGGCGAACGATGAAGAGACAGTGGAAGACGAGCCTCCGCCAGCGCCCGCCTCATCCACCGCACGGAGCAAGCACCGGTCAGCATCCACAAACGCGACACACTATCAGGGCACGAGTTACAAAGGGTATGAGGAGGACACATGAGTTGCTGAGTTCGGGGGGCGGAAGCTTTCGTGCAGAAGATGCGCGGGACGTACAACGTCAATCGCGGGGGTTATTCTTCATTAGCGTTGTATATCGGTTTATTCCTTTCTGTCTATTATATAAAGTACTTAACAAGGATAGTGCCCTCTCCCCGCAAAAGATTGGAGTTGTTGGCCCTCTTTGTGTCTTTTTTTCTCTCTCCGCATATATGTGCTTTTTCTGTGTTTTTTTCTTTCGTGTTATTATTATTATTATTATTGTTGTTTTTTTTTTGCTGACCTCGTTATTTGAGGTTGCGAAAGAGTTCCCTGTGCTTTGGCCCCATTCACTGCGTCTGAACTCACTGGCACACCTGCTGCTGCTTTTGTTGGTCTGTACCCCGTCCCTTTTCTCAGCTCCAATAAGTATATATATATACACACACATACATGCATGTATGTATTAATTAATGAATTATTATTATTTTTCCTTGCTTCTCTCTCTCACTCTCTCTCGGCTTGTGTGTGTGTGTGTGTATGTGTGGGTGGATGAGTTGTAGTTTCCTGTGTGCGTGTCTATAAAACAGCTGCCGTGCGGCTCGTCTTGAAGTCTAGAGGGGGCTTTTTAACATGCCCGCCGCTTGGAGCTCTCAGCTAGTTGAAGAGCTGCTCTTCCGGCAGTACATCAAGGGCGAGGATGTGTCCACGCTGCTTCCTCCCCCGCCGACTTTGGCGGCCGACCAGTACATGGAAAAGTACGAGCAGAGCACCAAGATGTTGTCTTCATACGTTCGGAACGGGCCGGCGGCGACGCTGTCGTCTCAGAATGTCAACACGGCGTCAAGGATTTACGGTGCCACGCCGGTAAAAGGGCAGACATCGTTTTCCCGGGCGGCAAACGCGGCCCCAGCCGCGGCAGGCCCTGCTGCGGATCCCAGGACGCAGGTGAACCGTACCCCCAACGGGAAGGAGCGTCCCTCACCGGTGGTGGACTCACCGATTCCGGCCCCACCCAACGCCGCGACACGGCAGGGGAACGCCCCCGCGCCTGCCCAAGCGAGGAAGAACCGGGTGGAGTGGCCCGCCTCTGTGCCCACCAACGCGTCTCTCAAGAGTTCAAGCCGCTCAAAAGTGGCGCATTTGACGGCAAGGCGTGTGGCGGCGCAAGAAACGGTGGATCCGGATCTTATCTTCGCCCAGAACCCCGGAGAGCTTCCTTTACATGCCATATTTGCGAAGTTTCCCAAGGCCCTCGATACCCTTGCGGCTATTCGTGGCGCCAGTGGGGACTGGCGGAACGACACTTTTTCTACAGAAGAAGAAAATCAATACAAACGTGACTTGGGCTTTGTGCATGTGGGACCAAGCCAGTGCGCCTTCAGTAGATCGAATCTCTTACACAAGTAAGGTTGAATATTCGTACGATCCCCCTTGTTTTTCCGTTCCTTCTTCGTTTTTTAAATTGTTCTTTGGGGTATTCCTCCTTAGATGGTTAGATGCTGTTTTTTTGTCACTTTCTGTTATATTGTCCCCTGTTATCTCACACGGATGATTTCGGCGATTTTTGCTGAGTGGGATGAACTCCCTTTCCCAGCGAAATGACATGAATACAAATACAAGTAAACTATATATACATAACGAGTCCGAGCGTGTTTTTTGTGTCTCTATGTGCATTTCTCTGCTTTATTTTAATTTATTCTTCGTTCAGTATTTACATAATAGTTGGGGGGAGATTTTTTTTTTCAAGGGTAGTTGATGGTGGGGTTCCAGCCGGGGACGCTGCTGTGGGTCAAGTGCGACGACGGGGAGTGGTGGCCCGCAGTTGCGCGGGAAATGGACACGGATTCGCTCCTAGTGGCGGGTGGCGGGTGCGACATGTGCGTTGAGTTTCATCACGACCCAGGAAACCTCTATCCGGTGGAGTCTGCAAGCGCCGGTGTTCGCGTGCTGCACAGGGCCAAGGAGGAGCGGGATGCGACGGAGGAGGGCTTTTTCCGCGCAGCGGCGACGCAAGAGGCCGTAAAAAGGGCGCTGCTGGATGACGTTCATGGCGGGGCACCAGCGGAGGAAGGGCTCCCGCCGTACAGCCCAGAGGAGCTGCGCTGCATGTCTGCGCTTCTTGACTCGATCAACCACACGACTGCATCTCAGCTAAGAAAGACACTTTTAGCGCGAGAGGGGATCGACCTTTCCTCGCGAAACATCAGACAACAGATGTCTGAAAAGGATCGAAGGCGCCGCAAAAGACATACACGGCGTGCGGAGGGTATTGAGCTGCCGCCAGATGACGCGAAGGTGGTGCCGGAAGCCGAGTTGGACGCGAGAACCACCGAAACGGCAGAGGTGGTGGTGTCGCGGGTGGGTGAGGCGGAGTGGTCCTTTCAAGAGGCTTTTGATCCTTCTGCGCTGGACATGCTGCGAAAGGAGGTTTTTGAAAACAAGGAGCGGTTTGTGCTTTCACCATTGTACCGATATTTGGACCTTCTGGGGGCAGTGGCTGTGGATGGCGTTTCCGTGGAGACGACGTTGCCCACCCCGCGCGCATTACATGAGGTCCCAGAGGAGGGATTGCTGGAGTCTCGGCGTGTCTTGCTTGTTGCTCTTTCGGCCTCTTCATTTGAGCACACCGTGGGATGGATGGTGCCTTTTGAGTATGAAGGCACCACGATAGCCATGACGCTTTCGGTGAATGGAACTGCCGTGGAGACGCCTTGTAACTGTTCACTGCCTTCGGGAAAGGAGGCTGTGGCGGTGAAAACTGCCACGGTGGCTGATATCACTACACACCTTTTACACAAGGATCTCTTTTCCCTTGCAGTTGGTTTCACTGGGCAGATCGAGGATGCAGCGCTCTGGAAGGGCGTGATTGCTGCCGTCTATGTGGACCTTGTTGACATTGAGGCACTGGCAGATAGAATTGTCTCCAACTATAAGATGCCGCCTCGCCGGAAGGGGCGCGACGACGTCGTTGGGGTGCAGGTGAAGATTACGTGCCCCATCACGACGCTGCCGTTACACACTCCTGTGCGAGGGTTTTTTGTGCGAACACATGCAATGCATGGAACTACGCTCTCTCCTCATGCACTGTGCGCGCACGAATGTGTGGAATTGTCCGCTGTGCTGGGCACCAACACCGCCCGATAGCATTCTAGTGAACTACAGACTAAAGGAATGGCTGGAAACGCACCAATCACAGCTGGACAAGGTGGATTTTATTCTCGAGACACCAACTGGAGCGCCTCTTCGCCCGGTTTGGAGGCGGAAAACCGCCAGGAATGTTGCTGACTTCATTGCTCTTGAATAATGCCGGAGTGATGTTTCTTTTGCTCTTCCATTTTTGTTTCTTTTTCAAAAGAACAAGCGAGTAAAATATTGGTGCGTTTTTTTTTATTGTCTGCCCCCCCGCCCGGCCCTCCTTGCTCTTGCTGTTGCTCTTGTTTCTTCTGCCTCTATGCATTGCGTTGGGCTGCTGAGCAACGTGGTCTTTTCGTTGTGACGTTCCTCTTGACAAATGAGCGTTCATTACGCCCATGGGTTGCGACATACAGTTTTATGTTTTTTATTTTATTTTATTATTATTCTTTATTTTTTTTCTTTTTGCCTTTTTTATGTACGTCTCTGCGTGTGCGTGTGTGTGTGTGCTGCTGTGCCTCCAGCGTAGTTCATGTGCCCGGGGGCCGATGGATGATCTCATCCGTTTCGAGGCGGAGTGCAGGAGACACATAGTTGTGGTTGAAAAAGGCACAGCTCAGTCTCATCTGTTTTCCTTTCTTCGACTGGCGGGAGATCTCATGGGGGAGGCCAAGCGGAGCCACTACCTGAACGCATTGCACATCTTGTGGCAGCTCTTTCCGCTCCTGCGTTTGTACGCAGGCTTCCTTGAACGCAAAAAGGCAACGCTGGTGGAGTCTGCTAGTGCGCTGTGCAGCGAGCGGGAGACAAGGGCCGTGAAGAGCGACGCCGTGGATTCGCCCCCCGGCACAGTGGAT